ACACCTGTGAGAGCAGCCTTTCTAATTAGTGCAAAATATTCTCTCTGATTGTGGAGAATTTCAGTCCTGAAGTAATTTGAGTATGGCTGATTTATAAGTGCATTGTCAAGTGTCTGAAACCTGAATGAGGTTTATGCTGTAAAGAGTTGTAAATTACTGAGTTTGCCTACATATTTAGTCTGAATTTGGAGGGCCAGATATTTATTTTGCGTATCTTGTAACTGTTCTAAACCTCATTTGAAGTTTGACCTCAATATTTTTTTTCTATCCCATTGTGAGAAAATTATAGTAACTTGTGTTTTTATTTTAAATAACACTTTAAAAATACAGAATAATAATAAAGATAATGTAGAATAGAATAACGTTTTCTCGTTAAAGGAATCTTCACTGTTTCCATGTGCAGAAAATGTTTAATGTAGAGAGATGGAATTCCTCTACATTAAAGAAACATTTCATTGTGATTAACTGTTCCCAACAGAAGATGCTGTTTAAGTTTCTTTGGGAAGTTTGTTGCAACCAAATGCTGATTTCCCTTGAAAACTGTTTCCAGATGTTGACATGTAGAAGCGTTAAGTGGTGCTTGTTTACAAAGTGCTCTTAGTTTTTCAGTGTTTATTTTGCTGGATGGTGTAACTCAAACTTTGAATGCAGAGCATTTTATCTGCATATCATTTATTAGTTAGACTGGTAATATTTAGAAGAATTACCTAAGTTTTCAGGTGCACAGCTTTTTTGGATTGAACCTGGAAGCAGCAGGTTTCAAAACTATGTGAAAATTGAATTTTCAAGTCAGTTAATTGAACATCAGTTCACTTTATGGTGCAACACAGCAGCATAAAGTGAACCAGGGTCGCAGCGCAAGGAAGGTCAAAATGGAGATTGGACAAGTGGAGGCTCAAGCACTGCGTGACGGTTCAACCAAAAGGAGCACTCTGAGCAAAGTGCAATTATTTTTGTTCAGGATATAAATGAAGTAATTAGATATCTACTCTACCCTGTGCAGCTGTTGCAGTGCACACCCTCTTTTGCTATGTCTCCTTGACATAGTTTTTGTGAAATTCTGTAGGACACTTGATCCCACTCTTAGACTTCCGTGCCATTGAGGGCTATTTAGCAGAGCTCTCCAGCAAGGTCGGTGAGGAATCCTGCTCCGTAGCTGGCTCTACGTCACCAGCAAGTTCCCAAGATACAGTGATTCACTCAACATCATTCTGGGCAGTTTAAAATAGGAGTGAGCCAGATCCTCCACTTGTACAAATTGGTGTTACTATATTAAATTCAGACAGGCCTAATTATAAGTACTTAAGCAGTCATTGAAGGTTGCACAATCTATTGCTTTTGTTGAGTGTGTGCTCACCCATAAAAGTGAGGTTATGCAACTGAGCCCTATATGAATACGTCTCTGTCTCAGCTGCTAATTGAAAACAAACACAGTAGGATTAATAATTCACTTCTCAGGAATTTCTGTATCATGAATTATGAGGGGAATCTACCAGTTGCATTAAGAAAGATTATTCTGTTGCAATATTCATAAGTCCCAATGGTAATGACTGGAGGTCGCTAAACAGGGAGAAATTGGACTTGTGCAGGGTTTTGTTTTTCTCAGTTGCTATGGCTTTCAGGCCTCCTGCAGCATAGAAAGCACTTCCCAAGCCAACACAGAGGAATTTGGTAGCAAAACTACTGTTGACATGAAAAGGGGAGGATAGACTGTTTTGATGCACAGGAAATGTGGCACTTTTCTGTCTGGTATCTGTGCCTTTTCAGTTTAAAGACTATCTGTGTTTTGTAATAGGGGCTTAGGAAATTGTCTTTTCTGTCTTTGGGGAGGAAGTTGCATTCTGTCTTCTTAATTAGTTGGTTGGAAGATGAAAGCAGGTGCCCCAGGGGCAGGGGATTCCAGGAGGTTTGGAATTTTTGAACCAAGGAACTTCTAAGAAATGGCATATTATGAATTCTGATTTATCTTGGCTTCGCTGAATGCTGCCATCAAAGACATTTACGTGGATGCATATCCTGCTCTCATCTACTTAGATGCTGTACTCTGCTCTAAAGTACCATGTACTGATTTTGCAGTCCTGAACGTACATATAGAAAGTAATTATGGAGACAGTTCCATTCCTTTTGGATATCTGATGGTGGCTGATACCTTGGACTTTGTTTTACTGTGGCTTCCATGATCACTGCCTAGGAAAGAGTCTTCAAAAATTAGATGCTCTTTTCAAATTAGAGTATAAAGAAAGATATGTGGAGGATTTTAAAATCTTCTCTGAGAGATAACACAACAGGTAAATGCACAGAGAGGCCAGAAGATTGATACTTGGTCCAGCCTTCCTGGTAGCTATGTCAGTTGCTATTTAAGCAGTCCCAGAAAGTTCCACTCTTCTGCTCTTCTTCTACAGCTTCCATTGTGGGTCTCAGGTCCAAGAACTGTTGCACTTTCCATAACCAGGTGGGTGGGGTGCAACTGACTTGCAGGCAGGAATCAGGACCTGGAGCAACCTTGTGCTGGAACATTGGGTTGGGACCGCTTGGGCAAGCAGAGCCCAAACACTGCAGCCTGAAGTGGGTAGTCAGCTTGCTGCTATTCATCCTCTGTAGGGTCCATTTTTCTCAGGCATCTTTTATTTATCTGGTAATAGAAACTGTTTTTAGTGTTTGTCAGTTCTTTCAATATACAACATTTTAGTTTCATGGCATGCAATGCATATACCTGTATCTTCTATAAAACAATTCACCGTGGTTCAGAGACGACTTTGGGGCATGAGTGTTGTTTACGGTGCTACATATAACCCCTGGCTTTTCATCCAGAAAGGCCATGCTCCCGTTTGGTGACAGCAAAATGATGTATGTTTGCTCTTTAGTGTGCGGTCTGTAACACTTGTCTCCATGATCTGTTCTGTGCAGCATGTTTTACTCTGTGCAGTTCCTGTTTCTGGATTTGCATCGTGTCACTGCCTTGCCTCAGGACAAACCTGAATGCAGCACTGCCATAAGTCATGATCTTCAGTTCTGAAATTTCTGAATGTCCTTCTATATCCATATATCCATCTATGTATATATAGTTTATAGACATTCCTCATGCAATTATTTCCCTGACAATGGGAGTTTATTTGGACTTCTGTACATGAAGGGCCTTTCTGCACTCAGAGTATTGAGCTCTACCCCAAGTCCCTTGTGGCTGTTGTGTGGAAGAAAGATAATGTGGAAGAAGAATGTTGGTATGGAGTAAGACCGAGTTCAAATTGGACTTGAAAGTTGAGTTCATGAAACATGAAGTGCTCCAGCTGCGTCAGGAGTGCTTGTATGCACATGCCATGGGTATTGGTGTGTTTTGGGTGATTTCCTTAGGGGATCTATAAAATACTAACTTTTAAAACTCTGCCTATTCTTCTTTCTAATCCCTGTAAATTTTCTTCTGTTTCAGTTAAGCATGAGGAAAAATAAATAAGTAAAATAAGCGCAAGTTTCTCCTCAACAGGATACACTGAGGAAAAAAAACAACTGCTCATGTGATTTCACGTGGTACTATACAGGAGGGAGTTGGGATGGAGAGAGCAATGTTGTAGATGTATAGTCACATGGTAGAGCTCATATCTTGTTAGACAGCAAAAGGTTATGAGAGCTTTGCAGCAATGGGTCCTGTAAAATGAAAAAGAAATAAGGATGCAAAGTATTCATTCCCTGGCAAAATAATGTGTCAGTGAGAAAATCTTTTTTCTTCCCCTTGAAATTAAAAAATGAAATGGTTCTGTTCTGCATGGAGCTCTCACATTCTCTGCACAGCATTTGCAATTACTGCTGGAAGAGTGAAGCGCACTGAACTGGTGTAGCTCTAATTGCAGCGTGGTCCCATTCTCACTGAAGTACTTTTAAACTATATTTAGTATGTAATTGAGATGTTCTAACATGGGCTATTAGTCCAAATACTAGTGTAAATGAGGCAGAGAGTATTAAGATGCGTTTAAAGATTGTCAAGCAATGCCAAATAGATCACATGGTCTTGCTGTGTCTTGCGAAATGGTTCTTATTGCTGAGGGAAAACCAGACCTGCATAACATTGCATGGATGTGCATGCTGCTGGGGGAACCACATTCCCCTGTCTCCTTCGTGCTTCCTCCTCCCGATTGCTCTGTGCCCACAAAGGTGAGGGCGCTGAAGCAAGAACTAGCATGGAACCATCAGAAAAGGTTCTCCCACAGAGTGAGGCTGGAGGGGAAGAGATGTTGGTGGGAAGGTCGGTGCTTTGTGCCCATCCTGGGGTGAACACCCTGCTATACTGGCCCTGCTGTGGAGTAGAGCAGGCCTGGGACTTGGCCCTGTCCTTCCTGTGCTGCCAGGGCGATGCAGAACTGATAAACCCCTGGTGACAGGAGATGGCTCATGGTACACATGGGCAGGGAAGGAGAGGAAAGTGCCAAACAGAAGGTGTCATCACGTGCCAGTTTTGTTCCAAGTAAAGCATGTTTTGTATAACCCAGACCTGGACAGATGATAAAATGCTTGTCAGAAGTACGTGTTTTTTGTTAAGCACTGCAAAGTTCCTGGAACATGCTAGCACTGTGTCTGTAGTGCTTACAGAGCTTTATATGGACTATTCAAAATATTCGGAGCATAATACAGTAAGTTTTATATTCCAGAGACAGGATTTTCTGTTTTATAGCATTTTTCACACTGTGACAAGCATCAAAAACCTAAAATTATATTAAAATGTATAATTAAAAAGTTCAGCAATATTTTGTGATCCAGGAAGTAAGCTTGACTAATGTGGCTTCTACAGATTCTATATATCATGAGACATGATCATATTTGAGCAAACTCAGTTATATATCTGAGACATTGTGGTGCTTATAAAATAAACTAAGTGCAACACAGTATGCCTTGAAACTGTCCTCAGTTTGGACAGAAGTCACTGCAGACAGGTGAACCCCTGATATGGAAGATAGGGCGGTGTTTTTTTCACTAATGTAATAATCATGTGTTGCAATTTTTCCTTCTAGGAGACAGAGCTGCTTGATATCAGTCTTGTCAAAGATGCCAGATGCGGAAAACATGCCAGAGCTCCCAAGGTAGGCATTTCTGCTGTGTGATTACTTGTTGCATTGGTTACCTAGGCAAAACAGAATATGAATTACATGCAAGAATTTTTTTATAAAACACTCCTTTAGATAATAAGAAATGTTTTGTCTTTGCTTCATTTATCGTAGTTGCTGATAAGAAGTGCTGTGATGGTTGTGCTGTTGTGACTGATGCTGTATTTAGAATGGTGATGGAAGCTCTGCTGGCAGTGAGTGAACAGAACTGCTGGTTTGTCTGGCGCTGTGGTTAAACTTGCTTAAGTTTCCAATTTCCCTGATGGCCAGGAGCTGATGGTTGTGGAGCTCCATGTTGCATTTGGTATTGCTTATTTTCTTATTTGAGTGCCTCTTGAGGACAGAAAGAGGGATTTTTTAATTATTAAACTGTTCTCAGAGAGGTCAGGATATCAATTCCCTTAGGCCCTCTCTGATACATTGCATACTCGTTTGCTGTCTTTAAAGACAGTAAGTTGTAGACACATGTTCTCTGTGGTGTTTTCATTTGGACAGGAGTGACACATGAAAGAGAAAAAAAGAAAAACAACAACGGAGTGCACAGCTCTGGAAGCAAGAGTGTGCCTTGGGGCATCGCAGGAATGATAAGGAGAAAAGGAGACCTCTATAGGGTCCTGACAGTATGGCCTGGCTGCTCTTTAGCTGCAAGCCTGTGAGCTTGCAACAGCCCAAAGCAATCCTTTTCCTGCCTCCATCCTGGGAGAAGCACGACCAGATCTGTGGGCTGCAGCTATACCTGAGTCTGCCACTGTGCTCCTTGCACCCAGCCCCAGGCCAGGGGACAGCCCCACGGGCACCTCAGGTGTGAGGTACACCATGGCAGTGGGAGAGGTTGCTTTTTCATGCCAGAATGTAACTGCAGTTATCTCTGAACAGACTGTTCACATCTGGTTTGCAGAGTTTTTCATGTAATGTTGGCAGCATTCTAAAGGCTGAGTTATAATTGAAATGCAGCAGAAGTACTTTATGACATCCACATTAATACCAAGTGAGTTCACCATGATTAATGGTTCTATGATGAATAGCAATAAAGTATTAACAATTGCTAGAACATTATTTTAAAATGCTACCCGCTTTACAGAGGACATTCATGTTCTTCTAACAAAATGTTTTTAGCTAAAATTTATGCATAGCTATTGCCTTGGTGACTTTTGTTTATTAGGTTATATAAAGGCTGTTTTTGTTGCCACACGTTATGGATTGACAGCAGTGGTGTTAAATGAAGGGTATGAGAAAATCCTGACTTTTAGGGTGGTAAAATGCACCACCTGTGTGAATGAGTTTGCTTTTTGTCATAGATTTATGTGTGGGCAGAATGGAAACAGCACCTGGGTTGGTCGCTGATAGAATTTTGCAAGTGATATGAAGCAAAAAGCTCATTTTGGGGCCAGTTGTGCCTGTTCTGCTTTGAGCTGTGAGGTGGCTCAGCAAAAGAGTGAGTGTTACAGAAGCCTTGTGCATGTCTTGTACACAGAAGACACAGCTCATGCAGCAGCAGTAGGAAGGCTTGGCCTTAAGTCAATCACTGGCAGCTTGTGACTGCATGGAGGTTTCTAGGAATAGCTTGGTACAGTGGCTTAAGAGAGCAGCATCACTTCTGAGTGTTACTTGCCAAAGTTCCAGGTTTTAGAGACTCATCCACAGCTGTACTTTCAGATGGAGCAGCCCTGGCACTCAGGTGAGCATAAATACTGAATGATGTTTCTGGATGATTTCTGTACGGGAAAGCAAAGCTGTCTCCATTAGCATACAAAGAGCTCATTCATGATCTGCTCACTGTACAGTAAAAGTACAGTGTATATTGATGATTGTGTTGTGATGATGAATCTGAGCTGTATTCAGCATGGTGGGTCTGTTGGGATCTACTGGTACCTGCTGAACATCTTGCCTTGTGTAAAGTATAGCATCCAGCATAACTTCCAGACAAGGCACAGAGTTTTAGCTGCCAGGAACAAATACTTCTTGCTGCTGTGGTACCACTTCACACATTTCATAGCCATCCCAGAAGGTATCTTACATTGTCTGGTGGGATCATCACTGACAGCAGAACTTGCTTCCTTTATTTGCCTTTCCAGATGGAATGGACAGTGTGTTGTTTTGCGCTGGCGGAGCTTTCACTGTACAAGAGATTTAGGTAATTTTCTATAAATTCCTCTGCCAGCCCCCACTCTCATACTATTGTACAGTTTTTATACTATGTTAGGGGAGTTCTGCCAGTTTGTGCTGATTTTTCCATCTATTTTCAGAGTTTTAAGAGGGAGTGGATTCTATATGTGGGTTGTCATTAAAAACTTGAGAAGTTCGTGGGAATTTTTCAACATTATTTGGTGTATTTCTGATACAGTGTTACCTTTTGATAGAAGTGTCATCTTTAATAAGCTTTGACTTTTCTGTTAAACATAAAGCGAGCAATTCTTTTTTATTTTTCTAGCATACTAAATTTAAATGTGATTAACAACACTCATGGCAAACTACCTAAACTGTAGAGGTATACTGTGTCAGAAGGCCATCAGCAAGTAGTGATTTTAAAGGAATATAAGTAGCCCTTGTTATCAAAAACACTTTCTTCCTCTTCACCATGTGGAACGTACACTTCTTTGCCATAAGTCACTATCCACCAGTGAACATTTCTTTGGTTAGCTTCATGAACGTGCCAAACTTTTGTTCTTTTTGATGGCTAGCAACAGTCTGTTCTCATGCTGCATTCAGGGTATCTGCTGTACAGCTGTTGGCATTGCTAATTTCTGAAAAGCAGAGAAATGCAAAGGGTTTTTCAGATAGCTTCTCTTTTAGCCTTGTTGGTTGGCACTTAATTTTCACAATATTTTTCCATAAATCAAGAGAAATTTTCTGATTGTTGTGTCTTATAGTCACTACTGTAACAAAACTAAATACTTTTTCATTCTGGAGAAATTTTCCTCAATTAAGCAGCCAAATGCTTTATTCTTGTTTAGGAGGAATAGTACTCCATTTGATCCTATTTCACATCGTTCCTAAGTAGTTATAGTTACCCAGGCAATCAGACTGAAACCCGTTAGAATAGCCCAGCTCTAGATGATGGCCCTGGAGCCAAGGTCATAATCTTAGAAGTGGAGAGTACTGATTTTCTGCACTGTCGCATTCAGGGGTCCTGCAGTGCATCTGTGGCTGTCACACTTCAGCTTCTTTTGTTGGAAGGGGGCTTTGTGTTCATCCTTCTAGAACACTCTAGAATCCTTTTAGAAAACTAGGGAAGGTGAGACAAGTCCAGGAAGCTTAAGGAAGCTGACATCCTATCTACTTTGGATGCCCAGCTGAAGGAAGTAGAAGGCACAGTGGTTTTACAGCAAAGAAAGTGTGGCATGAAGAGTAAAGATTGTATATGGAAATAAGCCTCTTACCTAGAAATGTAGTTAGCTAATGATGAAGTCATATCTTTAGTAGGTACCTAAGCACGTAACAGCTGGGGAATGCGAAGGTTGTTCTCCAACCCTTAGATTAATAAATAGTGTACTCAGACGACCCTTGTGTTACTGAGAAACTTCAACATTAGCTTCTTTTTTTTCACATCTTGTCAGGGATAAGTTCTTCTGTCTTCAACTGCTGTTTGCAGGAAGAATAACAGATCTTCATCCCACTGCAGTATACGTACAAAGGTATTTTCTTTGGAAGAAGGGCAAGTCTTAGGCAGTACTGAACACCACTGCAGATCTCTAAATGTGAAGATGAATGAAAGTAATGTTCTAAAGAGAACAAGAGAAGATTTACTAATTGTGCACGTTAGAAAAAAATGCCTGAATTGAAAATAAAGTGAAATTTATAAAGTAGTGAGGGAATGATGATCATCAGAACTTAGCCTTTTTAGTAAGCATTAGAATCATTTAGGAAGGGAAGAAGAGAAATTTTGAGAGTAGGAGATTAATATGCAGTTCATTTCTTTCGGAAGATGTGACCACACACAAATTCAGCAGAGCCTTTTGGAAACACAGCATGCTTTTTGTCACAGGACGGCATCAGCAGAGGTAGAGCACCAGCATGCTGAGAGCTCCCATTGTTTGTACTTACAAATGCAGAAGGCCATGTGGAAACCATTAGTTGCGATGAAGCAATTATTTATTTCCTTTCATTTACACGTTACCTGGTAGCACTCTCTCCAGCTTTCTTTCCTTTGGTGTGCAGACTAATGAAGGCTAGCAATTCTTGTTGTAAAGTTTAATGAAGTGGTCTGCAAAATAAAATAACACAAACACTGCAGAGAAACATGTTTTTTTACAATAAGACACACAGGTAGATCTGATCATGCACACAGCTTTATGAGGCATGGACGAGCCACTCAAAAGAATGTCTTAAAATCGAGATGTAGCATTAACCCTTGGTGAAAGGTTAGGCAGAGAAAATGGGTCTGCCAGCAGCATGCTCACAAGACTGTGAAATTCACACTTCTTACTATCTTGTATTTACTTTAGCCTGTAACAGTTTCTATGGAAACTAAAATCGTAATGCAACTGTGCAAGTGTGTTTGGTAACGAGAAGAAATATCGGGATGGGTTGGCAGGAGTGAGGAAATAACCCCATGGCAAATGTTCACATTTAAAACTTTAGATGCATTTTATCAGTATGTTTTCCCTCAAAAAAAATCATAAATCATTCATCAGGAGATAAATTGATTTAAATGACATATACTCTGGAACCTGCAGGAGAGGAAATTACGGATCATGGGATTGCATTTGTGCCAAAATGTTTACAGTGCGCGGTCCCCACTTTGAAAAACACTCTCTGCTTCCTGGCCCCAAATATTCTCATTTAATAGAGGATACTCTACAGAGGAAAATAGTGAAGCCTCCCTAATATAGGAAATTTACCAAGGCCTCAACTACTACAGTATTGTCAGCAGATGCTGCACGTGGTGGGTTTGCCTAAAATCCTGAGCTAGAGTGCAACAACTTCAGGATTACCTCACCATGCATCTTCCTCTCTGCAAAGAGCTGGCTGATTGG